TTGGATATGTATCGATGATAGCCAGAAAAGGATGAACATAGCAGTACTGCTGGTGGTGCTTGGCGCATTTGTGCTTAGCCTGTAGGGTCTGAACAGCAAGGATCCTTTTGTAGCGTTGAGGATCATTCGGAAGTTCATTCGAAATGCCCTGGAGAGCAGTGTTGGTAGCACTGTGCCTAGGTCGAGGGATGAGAGGCTTTCGGGCCCTGGACTGAGTCTGAGAGGGGTGCAACGGGGTTTGCTGGTCGAACTCGAATTGAGAAGCAGCCCTTGTAGGGTCGTAGTGTGTTTCGATTAGGATAAAAGCTGACCATTTGACCTTGGGTGTGTTGCGCTCAGTGTGGACGGCATCAATGAAGCCTTCCCAGTCGTCCTCCGTTCGTAGTCTGCACCATGGTGCATCCCGGCTCCTTCCACGGCAGGCTTTCCAGCTGATATTGGGCTTCAGGGAGTATTTGTTGACGCCTTCGACGACCATATGATCATGACGGAGCTCCTCGAGGGCGACATCGATCAAAAGCTGCTCTTGGTCGGCCTAAGACTTGACTAGATTGACCGTCCAGTGTGCTTGAGGATACCTGTGGTTCTTTTGCCTAGTGACGAGAACGAAGACCTGGAAGTCGTCGAATCTGCTGATAGTATCAACCGGTGCGTCTTCGTCTTCGAGTTCGATGACTGTCTTAGGCCGTTTTTCCCTCCGGACTGTATTTGTAGGTGGTGGTGAGGCTGCATCTTCGAGGAGACGGAGGGCGGTTTGGGGGTACGAGACGATGCCCTGCGCTTATACGAAACCTTAGCAGCTCCTTTCAGCTTCCTTGGAGGCATTTTCAAGGTTTGGCGGCGTGTTTGGTGGATTGGTCGTGTCCTGCACGAATATACGGTAAAATGATGCGCGTCAAGAATTTTGCACACAGCAGTAGTTTGTGCATGCAGGTCCCACCATGGTGCTCAAGGTAACCACCAAACCGTAAAATCCAACAACCTCACCATTCAAGCAGTCCAGGGATGGGATACAGGGGTCAAGAGCTACCTATGAGTGTCCGTCAGAGGATGCCAAGTGCTATTCGCGATGGTACCAAGCATGCCGTCATTGCGGAGGATAATGGTGTTCACCGCAATATTGTCGATAACATGAAGAGACTCTTACACGAACAGGGAAACGTCAAACCGCGTCGCAATCAACAGAGGGGACGTGTACCGAAGATTTCTGGCGAATGTCTGGAGGTTTGACGCTTTTTGTGAGTCGTTGTTCGCTACTTACGCTGAAAACAGACCCTTCAAAAAATGTACGATGATGCGCCCGATACGTACCAAGACGAAGCAGCCGAAGCTCTCACGAAGCTCTATGGCTTTAAACTCGACAAATGGGATGTCTGCCGCGCCCTCAAACGACTCAGGTACACCTACCATAAGGTCAGCACGCTGACACTCCATCCATGGATGTACTGGAGAGGCTGACAGCCTACTAGTTGGAAG